GATTAGAGACTGGCAAGTACGTGATCTGAAGCGGTATTCAGTGATTACAAGCCTGTCTACACATTTGTGAAGACTGCTCAAGCTTCAGCGAATGATGATGAGACCTTCGAGTCATTCCAGCATTTAGCGATCAAAGGAAGCTTGCTTAGCACTATTGTTGTTGTCTTGTCCTTATGCACACAAAGGATTCCCATACCCTTACAAAAGTTAGTACGGTACGGAGCCGACTAGTCGACTCTTTGTCCACCAACTTTAGGTAAGGATGTCTGCTCAGAAATTGTGCATATATATATATATATATATGTATTCATCCCCCCCCTTCTACAAACTGTTTCTCTTCTTGTATACCCTTACGGGACCAACACCCTCCTTCCACTTCAAATACTGATCCATCAGTAAATGAAATGCCTTCAGTTTCTGAACTTTTTTCAGTTGCTGAATCTGAGGCTCCTTTAGCAATAGTCCCTATTGCTGAAGAAACTGCTGCTGAAGCCTCATCTTCCTTACCTGAACTTGCCTATTCAGATGAAGCTCCTCTACCGGCTCAGCGATGGACTAAAAGCCATCCAATTCATCAAAGTCTTGGTGATTCTGATGCAGGTATCAAGACATGTCGTGGTGTAGGTAATATATGTCTCTTCGTCAACTTTCTTTCTTTAGTTGAACCCAAAAAAATCAATGATGCTATCTCTGACCCTAGTTGGGTTCTTGCTATGCAAGAAGAGCTCATTGAGTTTGATAGGAACAAAGTCTGGTACCTTATTCCACGTCCATCTGACAAATTAGTGATAGGCACCAAATGGGTCTATCTCAACAAGTTGGATGAAGATGGTGTGGTAACCCGCAACAAGGCTCGGCTTGTTGCTCAGGGTTATAGACAAGAAGAAGGAATCGACTATGACGAAACCTTCGCACCAGTGGCTAGACTCGAAGCAATTCGACTCTTTCTAGCCTTTGCTGCCCATAGAGACTTCAAGGTCTTTCAGATAGATGTAAAGAGTGTTTTCCTTATTGGAAAACTTCAAGAGGAAGTTTATGTTGAACAACCTCCAGGGTTTCTTGACCCTAAGTATCCAAACCACGTCTATAGGTTGGATAAAGCTCTTTATGGGTTAAAGCAGGCTCCTCATGCMTGGTATGAYACCCTTTCTTCTTTTCTCATCTCTGAGAAATGCTCTCGTGGAAAGATTGACCAGACCTTATTTCTTAGGAAAGTTAAAGGTCACATCATTCTCATCCCAATTTATGTCGATGATATTATTTTTGGTTCCACTAATCCCTCTTTATGTTTTCGTTTCGCTGAACGCATGAAGAAAGAATATCAGATGAGCATGATGGGAGAACTAACATTCTTTTTAGGTCTCCAGATCAAACAAAATGATAAAGGTATCTTTATCAACCAAAGTAAGTATGTTCGAGACATGCTAAAGAAGTTTGATCTATCCAACAGTTCATCTATGAAGACTCCAATGACTCCTCCACTCACTCTCAACAAGAATCCAAATGGAAAGCCTGTAAATGTTACTGTTTACAGAGGAATGATCGGCTCCCTGTTGTATCTCACAGCTAGCCGACCCGATATCATGTACTCCACTTGCTTATGTGCAAGATATCAAGCTGAACCTAAGGAATCCCATCTGATCGACGTAAAATGCATATTCAGATATCTTAAGGGAACTCCTAACATGAGTCTTTGGTACCCTAGAGGTTCAGGTTTTGACCTTATTGGTTATTCAGATAGTGATTTTGGAGGTTGCAAAATTGATAGGAAAAGCACCACAGGAGGCTGTCAGCTTCTAGGTGGAAAGTTGGTGAGCTGGACAAGCAAAAAACAAAATTCAGTGTCCACATCAACAGCTGAAGCTGAATATGTAGCAACTGGTAGCTGTTGTGCCCAAATTCTTTGGATGAAAAATCAACTGCTAGACTACGATCTTCAGTTTTCAAAGATTCCTATTTATTGTGATAGCACCAGTGTTATTGCTATTGCAAACAACACTGTACTTCACTCCAAGACCAAACATATTGAGATCCGATATCATTTTTATCAAAGATCATGTTATGAATGGTGATATTGAACTTCACTTCGTTCCAACTGAGTATCAACTCGCTGACCTTTTCACCAAGCCTCTTGATGAGACAAGATTTAATATCTTGATCAGCGAATTGGGTATGTTGAACACTGAAGATTA